AGCTCAAGAGCACCCAACTCAAGAGCACCCAACCTTGGCACCCCAAAAATCTGTGTCCCCCCCACCTACCGGAAGAGGTTTCGGTAGTAGTGGATGGGGGGTGTCAGCCCCCCCGGTTGGGAGAGGCCGTAGAGGTAGGCGTCCACCTCCTCCTCCGTCAACCGCTGCGCCGGGTTCCGGATCCCCATCCAAGGTCCCGTCAGGACGGTCTTCACCAGCTACGAGGCCACCAAGGGTGACAAGAGGTCTGGGTGCTGCCACCACCCCAAAAGCGGGTGACAAAGGGCCCTCGCTCTACACCTCGGGGGGTGGTTGGGCCTCCTCAAAGTTCTTGAGGAGCTTCTTGGGTTGGGGAGGTGCAGGCGGTGCCGCGGAGCAGGCGAGGGGACCCCGTGGGGACCCCGTGGGGAGAAGGAGACGTGGGGATGGGGGCTCACCTCAAAGTCCGCCAAGGAGAGGAGGAGCTCGGGCAGCCAGGGCAGCTGGAAGAGGAAGACGTAGCTGGAGCGGAGGAGCTGGGTGGGGTGGCAGGCGGTGAAACCTGCGCCGGGAGAGGGGCAGCGGGGTCAGCGGCCACCGCCGGGGCCCGAGGCCGGGCGCGGGGTGGGGCCGGTAGCCGGTGGTGCCAGCAGAAGAGGCGGCACCTGATGGTGTGGCCATGGGAGGTGGCATCCAATGGTGTTGGCCATGAGATGGCACCCGATGGCACGGTCATGAGATGGCACCCAACGGCATGACCATAAGAGATGGCACCCAACGGCACGGCCGTGAGATGGCACCCAACAGTGTGGCCATTGGAGATGGCACCCAATGGCACGGCCATGAGATGGCACCCAACAGTGTGACCATAAGAGATGGCACCCAACGGCACGGCCATGAGATGGCACCCGATGGTGTGGCCATGAGAGAGGGCACCCGATGGCATGGCCATGAGATGGCACCCGACGGCACCGCGGTGGCACGTCACAGCCCTGAGAGCCGCGCCGCGCCACCTCCGGTGGTGGAACCCCGCGGCACCTCCACGGGAACCAGCACCCGTCCGCGGCACAACCGCGCGAGCTCCCACCCCACGCCCCCGCCCGGCCGCGGGTGTCCCCGAGAAGCCACCCGTTACCTGCCATGACGGCCCGGTGGGGCGCAGCCATGATGACCAACTTCTCCACCAGGTGCGGGTGATTGGTGGCCAACTCCCAGGCCAGAAGCCCGCCCCAATCATGGCCCACCAAGATGCACTTGGGGGAGGCCTCGCTGGCATCGGTGGCCGTCGTCACCTCCCCCTGCCCCTCGCTTGTCCCCAGGCTCTCGATGACCTGGCGGATGTCCTCCAGGAGGACCTCCAGCCGGTAGCTGGCCTTGCCCGCTGGCTTCTCCGAAGCTCCGTAACCCCGGAGATCCAAGGCCACCACCCGGTACCGGGTGCCGAATTCCAGCAGCAGATGCCTCCAGCAGAACCTGGCCGGGAGGAAGACGCCGGTGACGGTGACGCCGGGGGGGTGGGGGGTGGTGGTGGTGGTGGTGGCACTGGGGACACACACACACACACACCCCTCCCCCCCCCAGGGGGTGGCCCAACCCCTTGGTGGCCACGTCACCGGGTTATGATGACACCTGGTGGCCCCACCACCAGGGTGGCCCAACCCCTTGGTGGCCACGTCACCGGGTTATGATGACACCTGGTGGCCCCACCACCAGGGTGGCCCAACCCCTTGGTGGCCACGTCACCGGTTTATGATGACACCTGGTGGCCCCACCACCAGGGTGGCCCAACCCCTTGGTGGCCACGTCACCGGGTTATGATGACACCTGGTGGCCCCACCACCAGGGTGGCCCAACCCCTTGGTGGCCACGTCACCGGGTTATGATGACACCTGGTGGCCCCACCACCAGGGTGGCCCAACCCCTTGGTGGCCACGTCACCGGTTTATGATGACACCTGGTGGCCCCACCACCAGGGTGGCCCAACCCCTTGGTGGCCACGTCACCGGGTTATGATGACACCTGGTGGCCCCACCACCAGGGTGGCCCAACCCCTTGGTGGCCACGTCACCGGGTTATGATGACACCTGGTGGCCCCACCACCAGGGTGGCCCAACCCCTTGGTGGCCACGTCACCGGTTTATGATGACACCTGGTGGCCCCACCACCAGGGTGGCCCAACCCCTTGGTGGCCACGTCACCGGGTTATGATGACACCTGGTGGCCCCACCACCAGGGTGGCCCAACCCCTTGGTGGCCACGTCACCGGGTTATGATGACACCTGGTGGCCCCACCACCAGGGTGGCCCAACCCCTTGGTGGCCACGTCACCGGTTTATGATGACACCTGGTGGCCCCACCACCAGGGTGGCCCAACCCCTTGGTGGCCACGTCACCGGGTTATGATGACACCTGGTGGCCCCACCACCAGGGTGGCCCAACCCCTTGGTGGCCACGTCACCGGGTTATGATGACACCTGGTGGCCCCACCACCAGGGTGGCCCAACCCCTTGGTGGCCACGTCACCGGTTTATGATGACACCTGGTGGCCCCACCACCAGGGTGGCCCAACCCCTTGGTGGCCACGTCACCGGGTTATGATGACACCTGGTGGCCCCACCACCAGGGTGGCCCAACCCCTTGGTGGCCACGTCACCGGGTTATGATGACACCTGGTGGCCCCACCACCAGGGTGGCCCAACCCCTTGGTGGCCACGTCACCGGTTTATGATGACACCTGGTGGCCCCACCACCAGGGTGGCCCAACCCCTTGGTGGCCACGTCACCGGGTTATGATGACACCTGGTGGCCCCACCACCAGGGTGGCCCAACCCCTTGGTGGCCACGTCACCGGGTTATGATGACACCTGGTGGCCCCACCACCAGGGTGGCCCAACCCCTTGGTGGCCACGTCACCGGTTTATGATGACACCTGGTGGCCCCACCACCAGGGTGGCCCAACCCCTTGGTGGCCACGTCACCGGGTTATGATGACACCTGGTGGCCCCACCACCAGGGTGGCCCAACCCCTTGGTGGCCACGTCACCGGGTTATGATGACACCTGGTGGCCCCACCACCAGGGTGGCCCAACCCCTTGGTGGCCACGTCACCGGTTTATGATGACACCTGGTGGCCCCACCACCAGGGTGGCCCAACCCCTTGGTGGCCACGTCACCGGGTTATGATGACACCTGGTGGCCCCACCACCAGGGTGGCCCAACCCCTTGGTGGCCACGTCACCGGGTTATGATGACACCTGGTGGCCCCACCACCAGGGTGGCCCAACCTCTTGGTGGCCACGTCACCGGTTTATGATGACACCTGGTGGCCCCACCACCAGGGTGGCCCAACCCCTTGGTGGCCACGTCACCGGGTTATGATGACACCTGGTGGCCCCACCACCAGGGTGGCCCAACCCCTTGGTGGCCACGTCACCGGGTTATGATGACACCTGGTGGCCCCACCACCAGGGTGGGCCCATCCCCATGGTGGCCCTGGCACCAGGGTGGCCCAGCCCCTTGGTGACCACGTCATCGGGTTGCGATGTCCCCATGGTGGCCCATCCCCATGGTGGCCCCATCCCCAGGGTGGCCATGTCACCGAGGTGGCCATGTCACCAGGGTGTCCAATCTCCATGGTGGCCATGGCACCAGGTTGCGATGGCACCAGGTGGCCCCACCACCACTGTGTCCCATCCCCGTGGTGGCCCCATCCCTTCGGTGGCCATGTCCTCAAGGTGGCCATGCCCCCATGGTGGCCCATCCCCATGGTGGCCACGGCATCAGGGTGGCCCATCCCCTTGGTGGCCCCATCACCAGGGTGGCCGTTGTCACCAAGGTGGCCATGTCCCCATGGTGTCCCATCCCCATGGTGGCCCCGTCGCCAAGGTGGCCATGTCCCCATGGTGGCCCACCCCCATGGTGGCCCCGCCCCCAGGGTGCGATGTCACCAGGGTGCCGTATCCCCACGGTGGCCCTGTCACCAGGGTGGCCCTGTCACGATGCGATGTCACCAAGTGGCCCCACCACCAGGGTGTCCCATCCGCTTGGTGGCCATGTCACCATGGTGGCCATGTCCCCAGGGTGTCCCATCGCCATGGTGGCCCCACCACCGCAGTGTCCCATCCCCGTGGTGGCCATGTCCCCAGGGTGTCCCATCACCATGGTGTCCCACCCCCGTGGTGGCCCCATCCCCGTGGTGGCCATGTCACCAAGCTGTGATGTCACCAGGTGGCCCCATCCCCAAGGTGGCCATGTCACCGCGGTGTCCCACCCCCGCGGTGGCCCCCATCGTCCCCACGGTGGCCCGTTCCCGGGTGCCGTGTCACCAGGCTGCCCCGTCGTCAGGGCGTCACCGTCAGGGCGTCACCGTCACCAGGGTGGCCCTGCCGCCACCGCGTCCCATTCCTGGGGTGCCACGTCACCGGCGTGGCCCTGTCACCAGCGCGTCCCCGTCACCGGGGTGTCCTGACCCGAGGGGTCCCATTGTGGGGGTGTCACCGTCACCGGGGTGTCCCGACACGGGGGGGCCCTGTCACCTTGGTGTCCCCGTCACCGGGGTGTCCTGTCACCGGGGGTCCTTGTCACCGGGGGTCCCTGTCACCGGCGGGACCCACAACCGCAGCGTCCCCATCACCGGGGTGTCCCGACATAGGGTGTCCCTGTCACCCGTCACCAGGGTGTCCTGACATTGGGGTGTCCTTGTCACTGGGGGGGTCCCATCATGGGGGTGTCACCGTCACCGGGGTGTCACCGTCACCAGGGTGTCCCCGTCACGGGGGGTCCCTGTCGCCGGGGTGTCCCAACATGGGGTGTCCTTGTCACCTTGGGGTCCCTGTCCCTGGGGTGTCCTGACACCGGGGTGTCCCTGTCACCGGTCACCAGGGTGTCGCGACATTGGGGTGTCCTTGTCACCGGGGGTCCTGTCACCAGGGGTGTCCTGACACCGGGGGGGGTCCCATCATGGGGGGGGGTCCCTGTCACCGGGGCGTCCCTGTCACCAGTCACCGGGGTGTCGTGACATGGGGGTGTCCTGTCACCGCGGTGCCCCTCCTGTCACCTCAGTGTCCCTGTCACCCTCTGTCATGACAGGCGGGTGTCCCTGTCACCCGTCACCGGGGTGTCCCTGCCACCAAGGGGGGTCCCTGTCACCGAGTGTCCCCGCCACCAGGCTGTCACGACACGGGGGGGCCTTGTCACCAGTGGGGTCCCTGTCACCGAGGGGTCCCATCATGGGGGTGTCCCTGTCACCAGGGCTCCCTGTCACCGGGCTGTCGCGACATGGGGGGGGGGGTCTCCCATCACCGGGGCGTCCCCGTCACTGGGGCGTGGCGACACCGGGGAGGGGGGGGGCCCGGGCGCCGGC